GGATGGATGGATGGATGGATGGATGGATGGATGGATGGATGGATGGATGGATAGTTGTGCAAAAAGAAACAACAGACTGCAACCAATGAAAAAACTAAAGCTCATCAGGGATGTAAACTGTTAATGGGTCTGTTGGAACAGTGATGTTTATAAAGCTTAATAATCCCCCTTATTCATCCTGCAACAGTCTTTCGTTGAAGGTCCTCTGCTCTGAAAAAGCTTTGTGCATGGGGTGTGAGACATTGAAATACAACCAGGGTAACATGCTATGGCAAGAGACCTTTCTTCCAACACCTGCGCTTGGTCAACTCTAAGAACACAGCCCCCTAATAACTATGAGACCAAATAAAAGTAATTAACACCACAATTATAATATTAATCAAATATGTTTAAAAAAAACTGAATGGTTATTTTCAAATGGTGTTTTTAATCTGACATACAAGCTTCATCTGTATGAATCATCTAATGCAGAGATCTTCAACAGGGGGTCCGAGACCCCTAGGGGGTCCACGGAGGTACTGCATGGGGGTCGCAAGTTGTTGTTGGTTAAACTTTTATTTTATAATACCCCCTGCAATTTTTTCCACTAATTGCAATGTCTTTAAAACAACATTAACATAATTTCAACACACTGTAGTAAACAGATAAATGGCAGAAGATGTCTTTCAGTCATCAATACACACATTCAGAGACACACAGGAGCTCTTTCAAGCTGGGCACCAATTAAGTCACAACACCTGTCCCATCAACCAGGAATCAGAATCAGAAATACTTTAATAATCCCAGGAAGAAATTACTTTTGTTACATTACTCCATATGTAATATCATGAAATATATATAATTAGGGGTCCCCGCTCATCTCGCCATCAGTTTTGGGGTCCTTGCTCTGGAAAACTTTGAAGGCCCCTGATCTAATGTATTGAAAATGACTATTGATTAGGCATTTTTCTTGATTTCCCAATAGCAGAAATCTAACATGTTACTAGCAAACACAAATAGAAGAAAAAAAAAAAAATCAGAGTTTTCCTATTTAAAACTAAATAGAGTATTTACACCTATGCTGGGTTGTTTGTGTTGGAGGTAATAATAGGTGTAAAATTTGACAGCCATGCAGAGTAAACTTTCTTCTATATGGTGACAAGTCTTCTTGATTTTGAAACTAATATGAATAAAATTAACTCTGAAAATCTGACACTAGATATAGAGCAGATTTTACACTGATTTGGAGTAGAACCAAATGTTATCTGAAACAGTTATATTTAACTGTAGGTGTTAAAATTAAAAGTTGTTTTTTACCGTAAAGATTTACTAAGTTTATCCACAGCTTGTCTATGCTTTACAGGCATAATAGTTAAACATAAAAATGTGTAACAGCTCTTAGAATAAAACATTGCACAATAGTTTCTAATCCAAATGTCTGAACACCTTTTATTATGCTTTCATACTGATGATAAACATTCCTCAGCATATCACCCCTACCACTGGCTTGTGTATTTCACTTGTAAAATACACCTTTATATTCAATGTTTAGCTTTCATTGATGCTGCTAATTTAACTTATCTTCAGATCTAATTTTGAAGGTCAGTCAGGCGGGTTTCCGGCCTCTTGCTCATCACTTTGTCTAACTTGACATGGTCCGCTTTATTTGGCTGCAGCTTTCCACTGTAATGGCGTTGACTCTATGTCGCCCTCTGGTGGACACAGCGGGAACGGGCATAGTGCCACAGCGTAACCAAACACCCTCCACCCCTTCTCCCCCTCCCCATGGTGCGTATTTCCAAATAGGGGCAAATATGAGGGAGACTGTTTTTGGCTTCAAAAGCTGCCTTGCGACCGACACGTTTCCTGGTAAATATTGAGGATTGTTTAATTGTTAAGTTAATAAATAAATGAAGTAACTAAAACACATGCATTACATTAATGGATGTCATTGTTAAAATACATACAAGTACAGCTTCAGACCAGACATAAGTTATGCATAAAATTATTTAACATTCGTTGCACGATGAATATGAAAATTATGTATCAATAGTCCAATGCAGAAAGTTTACATCAGCATTTTTAGAATAGGCATTATTCATTGGATATGCAAATACAAACATTTTTACATAAAACTATTAGTTTGAGGACAGTCTGTCAGTGGGACTCGGATCATAAACTGGGTTAACAATCAGTGGATGAGAGATTTTAGAAAAGCTGCATCAACATTCACACTTTAAATTGCCCATTTTTTCAATTATCACTGCAATTTTTTTCTAACTGTAACTTTTCATACCTAAATGGACTTTTTCAGCAGAGGAAGCTTTG